AAGGTCCAGTACTTCTGCTGGTTGATGGGTCTTCGCACCGCTTGAGGGGGAGTGTCGAAGGTCTAGGTTCGGATCTCCAGATCCAATCGGTGCAAAGCACTGATGATACCCCTCGCATCGCGAAGGCGCCCGGTGCGCCCACATGGTCTTTCTTATCATATTCTTGGCCTCCGGCCCGCCGTCGCTCACTTAAGCATCGCGTTCGCAAATCCGTCGCTTCACCTGCTCGTTATCCCTACGCAGTGTGAAGCGTACGTTGATTCATTCTCTCGTTAAGTTAATTGTTGCTCATTGTACCTCAGTAACTGTACTGCGTACATTCTAGGTACATGAATTGACCTGCTCGTTATCCCTACGCAGTGTGAAGCTAACTGTACTGCGTACATTCTAGCTCTTGCTTCCGCTCTGTCACTCGCCGCTCCGAAGCCTCGTTGAGACGCTGGTATCTTCGTCGCCGCATTCGTTACTGTCGCCATTTTATCGCCATCCATATTTTATCCCTTTCCTAGAATGGTGTTTGCGTTCATTAAGGGCCACGTATCTCCGTCTCTTCGCAACTCTTTGGTAGGTAGGTAGGTATATTTCCGGCGCGGTCCCAATAGCGGAACAACCGGTTGCCGCACAGCACGCCAGTACGTGCGGCTTGGCGCACACAGTGCATCCACGGTTCCCGTGAGCTGTATAACAGCCGTAGTTTCACGATCACGGGAACGGACGCGACCCGCATCACCCGGCAGCTCCGCGTCTTTCGCTATCAAGTGGCCGACGACCTACGTATCCCGTGGTAATCTCGTCACACAGCCTACGATTGACCCCCTATATCAGCACGAACTATTACGAGATGGCTGTCACCGATGCTGAACTGGCATTTAAGGTTGTGACATTTTTTACTTCCTGCAGACCAACGTCTGACAAGATATACGATCCCAGTAATCTTTCCTCCGATTCGCGGTAGACCATCGAACCGCATTGACGCGCATTCCGCCTTGGATGTGCGATGAGATGCTTTGCGAGGGTGACTGTCCGCGACTTCAATACGGGCTGGGTGTTCCCTTCGAGCGATTCCGCGCATACAGCATCGAACATGGGCTGCTCCCGCGCGAGGCGGCAGAGGACGACTTATCGGTCGTTCTCTGCGTTGGAAAGATAGTCAATGATATCTCGAAGCACTGCAAGTTCAGGCTGTCTCACGAGATGATTGCGCACTATCGCTACACCGGTATGGTCGCCCTCTACTCGAACTTCAACAAGCACCTGCGGCATCGTTCGACTCAATGCCCTTGGCGACGCAAGGACTGCACGCCAGCATAAACAAGGCTGCTGGAACCAGTCGTTCCGTTGATGCGAGCTTCGTGTACCGCAATGGTCAATGCGGTGACGGACAGCTTGAAAAGCTGTCGGGCATCGAACCAGCGTATAAAGCCTCAATGCTCCTCAACTCTATGCTATCGCTTGCGATCCTTCGTGCTCACATCAATCTTCTACTTCTTGGCCCCGGCGGTCTTCGTTCTGTCAAATATCGTCACGAACATTGCTGCTACAATGCTTGCCCAACTGATTGCCATGGTGTTCGCAGCCGTTTCATGCTCTGCCGCGCCATATACCAAACATGCGTCAGGTTTGTCCAATATCCATTATAACGGGCCGCTTCATACAGGACTTACAAGATAGTTCCTGTAGTCAACAACACCGCCGTTATTGCTCGCGACAACGGGGATTGTGCCTTCGCTGACGGAAAGTCTCCAAGTAAGTATCATGATGGGCCATCGCTCAGTAGCTTCCTCACATCTGGCTATTGCAGCAATACCGAATGGCCAACAAGGCTGTTGTGCACTCGGAGGCGTATTCGGCGAAAGTCCGACGCCAAGCATCTGCTCCTGCAGCAATGGCGTGGCAACGCAGGTGTCAACATGTCCAGACAAAGTCAAGTTCATCTTCTTCCCCGAATCGCAGGTCTGCGAACCGGCACCTGGAGCAAACCCTGGGTTCAAGTGCACAACGTAGTGATAATTGCAATCGATACCCGTGACAAAAGAAGTCTCGTTATACATGCAGTCACAGTATGCGTATCGTTCTTGAATCTGAGAACACGTCCGTGACAAGATCAACGGTGACCACAATGTCAGCGGCATCTTGGGCATGGAAGCGCCGCCACGACACGCTTTCGTTGCGATGTCTTCAACGTAGGCTGGGAGCGCGGTGTTCGGAAGGCCATCGGAGCTCCAATATTTGCTCCGGGAAGGCCAACGAGAGCGACATCAAAGCATCTTCGGAGATAGGAATGGTGCAGTGTCCCATGGCAAGGAGTACATTCGACCGGAGCCTCAGGAAGAGCCTATACCGATCGACGGCACGATGCTTTGTGTAGCTTCCAGTGTTTCTTCTGACAGGATGAATTGCAGTCTAGGAAACAACGAGATATTAGTACGCCACCGCTAGGCAACAACAAAGCCCACTACTCACATCTCGTATTGCCGCAACCCCCGCACTTCTTGAGCACGGCGCTTGCGTTTTGACAATAGCTGCATTCGTAGAGTGGAATCGAGCTGACAGAAAGCTCGGAAGGCGGCTCCCATACTGTGAGAGTATCGTCCCCGCCTTTGTCGTCTTGTTCTTCGTCGTCTTCGTCGTCCTGCTCAAGCCATAACGCAAGGTCATTTGTAACCAGCTCCGGATCTATGCTTTCCCGCTCCCGTGCGCCTTTGTCTTTCGTAGTGACTGCGTCGAAATGCCGCACCAGGTCTCCCCACTCCTTCTCAGCCGCCGCGTAGTTGTCGACGACGAACGCTCGAGTAAGACGCACCCTCGTGTCGGTTGGAGGGAATCCAAGGAACTTCGACACCTCGTCGCTGACTTGCAGCTTTTTCAGTGCATCCTGTACAAGGAATCATTAGGCTAACACCGCGTACAACCAATCAATATTCTCACTGAGAAATGCCTTAAGTCCGGCGATAATTTCTTGCCTTTGATCACGAGCGTGAGGAGAATGTACCAGTCGATGACATTCTTCATCCTCCTTGCATCGGGTGGGGCCTCGGCCATATACACTTGTGCGTCCTCGCAGGCTCTAGTGAGGAACGCCACTCCTTCTTCCCACTTGCGGCTAGATACCCGAGGGATTTGCAGTATATCCAACCCCTTGATAGCGGCATGCTCTATACTCTGCGCAAGTAAGTCGTACTTCAGGAAGGGGGTCAATGTTTGTGGTGAGCGCAAGGCGTTCTTCGCGTAGCGCAGCCCCAGGTCATGCGATTGGCTGGTGCTAATGACGTAAGAGAAGTAAGCCACGTCCGGATACTCTTTGAGCGCATCCCAAGCTTGCTCGCAGGCTACAGGCATGCCGTAGCGCATCGAGAGGAATTTGACGTCGAGAATCTCGGCGAGGTGAGATTCGTCAGGATGCCCCATTTGTCGGATAGCTTCGGCGGCGATAGGCTGACCATCAGTTAGCCAAGCCCGCGCATGGACCACTCCGAACATACTAGAACATCCAACCACGAGGTCAACGAAAACTCGAAGGTCTCGTCTTCGTTAAAGGAATCGGCACGCTGGTCCAGATCGCCGCCTTCGGGGTCAGGAATGGGGAATTCTGTTGTTAGTATGTAGTCAACCTGGTGGAAGAGTCGTGATAAGCAAGCGCAAGGACGCATTGGTCAGAATGGCACATACCAGTTTTTTCCCAAGGGAATAGAAGTCCCGATTGTCGAAGATATCGTTCAGTGCGCGTTGGCACTCTCTCATTGTCTCAAGCATGATGTGGATCTCGCACTTCGTCGTCCCGTAGCCCGCCATCGCGCGATCAACAATCGAAGGCCACTTTCCAGTAGACGTGGCATCAACGAGCGACTCGTAGTCGTATTCTGTTTCATCCTCCTCTTCTTGTGGAGCGTGGAGGGCAAGGAGGGAGTTGAGGATAGAAACCCTTATGTCGAGATCGCTGCTTCGCATGAACGCGATCAACAACTTCGCTGCTGAGGGGTTCTTGTGATACTCCTGATATCAGGTTAGTTGGCGTAGGATGACGTGTGACGGCGAACTTGCCTCTGGGCAGTTGTGTGTCGGGCTCACAATCAGGTCCAAGGCATGTCCGACCAGGTAAATCGAGCGGCCTGGCTTTCTGAGGACCTCAAGTGTAGTCTCAAGCGTCTCGGTCAAGGTGAGAGCTTCGAGGACATCAGGTTCAGGCGGCGAGCCGTTCCTGGGGGAGACGGCTGCGGATACAGCGTGACCCATAATCACCAAGCACAGCTCCTGGATCTTGTAGTCGTCAGGATGGCTCTTCATGAGTCGAATCAGCTTTGGCGTGTGACGGGCGATCTCGATCCGCGTGTCCTGCTCGGCTTTATGGGTTAAACTGACCAGAGCTCGCAGCGCCAGATGCTAGCTCGCGGATGTCGGATATGAATGGAACGAAGTGAAATCGATTGACGAACCCGGCACTTTTCGTAGTCGAGAAGGGGCACGAACTTCGGCACCACACCTGAGAGGGATGAGTTAGCCTGCGTAGTGACGAGCATGGCGTAACACACCTCGTTTGACGAGCTTGTTACGAAGAATATGATCGCCGCACATTTTGGCTAATATCGCGACGATGCCTCCCAGAACCATCTCGGCACCCTTCCTTTCATATAGGATGTATGCGGCATCTAACCGTTCGTACACTTTATCGATTTCGGTGTGGATTTGCTTGAGCCCTTTGCGCTTCGTCAGCGACGGTATCCCAAAGTTCTTGCATAGTATCGTGACTATCGCCTCCCAGTCGTCGCCGGCGGTGGTCAAGCTAACCAGAAGCTCGTCTTGCTGCACGCGACTCGCCAAGACTAGTTCGGTAGACGGCGAACTCTGTTCTCCGTGTATTTGGGACCGCTTCGTGCGTTTCTTTCCTTTGCCCATGAAGCAAATTTAACACGCGTTACTGATGAGAATGGTGAGGACGCAAGTGCAAGCATTGGTGGTTGCAATTCCAAGGGGCTCGCCGCTCCGGGGCCTAGAGCGCATCACGTGCTCAGCAGTTCACAAGCAATGAAATGAGATTCTGGTCGTGGTAGGTAGGTAGGTAGGTAGGTATATTTCCGGCGCGGTCCCAATAGCGGAACAACCGGTTGCCGCACCGCACGTCAATACGCACGGGTGGAACACAAACAATTCGCGCGATACTTGTTACCGGAGCTTTATCGGTGCTCGTGTCGCCTGTTGTATTGGCCCTGTATATCCGACAAACCGGTTTGTCGGATATACAGGGCCTTTGACTTAGCCTGCTCGTATTCCTCGTCCGACAGAATGGGTACCGTATGAGGACGTTGACCCCGACACCCGAACACCTATACATAGTATACACAATTCCATCAGGAAGTCATACCAGGCTGCAGATGCCGGCGCCAACGACGAGGATGTGTAGCGGCTTGACGGGTCCGGTGCTGGAGACATTTGAGCATGCGGGTGCGCTTCTTATGTGCCGTGCTCGAGGTGATAGTCGGTGTCTCGAGGTCGTCGGCCGCCTGCGTGCTCAGGAGCAAGTTTGTCCTTGGGCAGTACTCGACCAATGCAAATATGAGAGTTCTCCAAGGCTGAGTTCCAGAGTACACTGGCAGTAAGCGAATAATAATTAGATACGCGGGGCGCAGTGGTCATAGAACAGGACAGCCGAGAACGCGTTCGCGCCAGCCCTCGGGTGTGCCCCAGCGACGCACTGCTCACGTGCACGCGAAGTTAGCCACCATCCCGTTCGTCCAGGACCAGCTTCAGCAAGCGCAAGGTAAGTAGGTATGATCGCCCACGGGTCAGTTCGTCGTTTAATCGCTGAGATTACATAGTATTCAGGACAGAATATCGCATCCCGCCAGTGGTTGTCCTATAAGGAATACTAATTGCACTGTACTCTACACCACCAAGAACGTTCTGAGTTCGACACTGGAGCCAAGGCTTGCATCAACCACGGAACTCGTTTACGCACGACGAACGCAACACTTACGCCAGGCGGGTTAATAAGCGATCTCTCAACTTGATATCCGAAACCCGACGCACTCCAGGAATCGCGATCCCGACCACCACCACCTCCTCGGGCTCCCATGCCTTTCCTAACAACATCCCTGGATGTATTTCTCGCAACAAGCTTTCTTATTACCATCGGCTCTCTCTACTTGATACGTCCGTGGTCACAACCGGCCCCTGGCGCCCCACGAGCGCCTTTCCGCACCCCGCTATCCCTCCTGATCCTCATACACTCCCTCTACGTCCTCTACATCCTGCTCGTCACTCCTCCCCCAAATCTCTTCTCGCTGCTGCATATCCCGCTCACCACACCCTCCGACAAAATCCGCGCTCTCCTCCTTGCGCATGCACGCCTACCACCCGACGCGCCCCTTCCCCCCTCTCTGGAAGACCTCCTGACGCGCCTCTCCTCCTTCGACGTCCGCACGATATACATTCGGTTAGTCCTCCCATTACCCCTTGCCATACTACGGAGCTGACCTAATGATTGATGCAGGTTCGGACAACCGACGGTGCAAAGCTGCTCATACTGCCACACCTTTGACGATTACCTACTCCACTACCTGCCCGGCCCGCTCCTCTCATACGTCCGTACCGCCGCCGTACTCGGCCTCGTCACGCTCCGCGGCTCCTTCCACGAGCGCTGGCGGCGCTACGCCGTCGGTCTCCTCGTCTGCGCCGCCGTCACCGAAGCCTACTGGACTGCGACGGTCGAGGTCAAGATCCCGCGCACCGGCCTCGGCGTCATCATGGTATGTTCACCCCCTCCTCCCCCGCCCTCAAATACCCTAGCTGCCTCGCTTGCTCATCATCGTATCTAGTGGCACGATTACCTGTGGACCGCACGCCACCTTCTCTTCCTTTCCCTCCCTCTGCTTGTCCACCTCCTCCCCCTCCGCCCACCGCCCCCTTCACCAGCCTCCCTCCTTCTCAACCCCGCTTCCCCCCTCTCGCTCACCTCCACCGTCCAAGCCTCCGACGCCGCGCTCGCCCGCCTCGCCCTCCTCAAACATGCGCACGGCGCCATCGCGCGCCACCCCGACCTCCGGCAGAAGAGCGGGACGTGGTGGGCGGAGCAGCGACAAGAGGGAGAATGGGCGCGCGCGGACGAGCGCGTGCGCGTTATGGCGGATAAGCTCGGCGTCGGGACGTGGGAGGAAGGGACCGGGGCTGGAGAGGAGGAGCAAGGGCTCGGGACGCTGAGGAAGAACGCGAGGACGTTCGTAGCCGCGCTCTGGAGGTTGGCACAGACGAACCCGGCGCCTGCAGCGACGTCTTGACCATGTTGTACCGACCATTGCAGATTGACGAACATTGGATAACATCTATCTTCGCGTGTTAGATGGTGTGGTTACGCCGGGGACATACCCCATATACATAGGGTTTACACCGCCACCAAAAATAGGGTCGACCGATCGGCGGGTTCAACTTTCTCTTCTTGCCTCTCCCGCGCGGAAGCAAAATCGGCCGCTCACCAGCGATCACCCAGTCCGTCTCTTCTGCAACAGATGCGGGGCCCATCGCAGCTGATCGAGTCATTTGTCGATACCGACAAATGACTCGATCAGCTGCAATTGCGGAGGTCCAGTACTTTGCATCTTCCCGTTGTGGCGGGAAGATGCAAAGTACTGGACCTGCGGATGTGTTGTATGGAGCAGGCGCAGGTTACTCGCGGTTATTCATCGCTATCATGCGCATTCCGCGCTATGATCCGCACCAGATGGGCAGGATCGACATGTCCAAGGCCAGGGTCGATCCCGCCCTTCCGCATAAACGCGGATACGATGCATAAGGAGGCATCGTATCCGCGGTTTTTGCGCCCAGCGCGTATAAAATCCACCCAATATGTGATTGCATTCTCTAACTCTTGGGTTCTGCTCTTGAGTTCTTACTGTACCTCCTCTCCTACCTGCCTACATCCTCCTCGCGCTCTACCACCTTACCATGACCTACCAAGCCTACCCTCCCCCTACTGACTTCTCTGATTTAGCACAGGTATCCCCTGTGTGTAACGATGTGGATATGGTACGCCGCTCCCCGCCCTCACATTCTCCCTCTTCACGACCTCACTCACGGTTACCCAGGACGAACTCGAGGTCGAAGCCCTCCTGGACGCCTTCGTGGACGAACACCTCTCAGCCGCCCAGCAGCTCATCCTAGCCGACACCGAATCCGAGTCCGAGGAATCTCCCTACGCGGCCTGCGAGGTGTCCGACGTGCACCCTTCTCTGCCGTCGGTCTTCCAGGCCCGCTTCGGGGCCGGGTCCACGAGCTTCGTGTCCAGCGGCGCGGTCTCCGCGCGCTCCCGCAAGGCGCACGCGTCCGATCCCGAGGGACGGCGCTGCGTCTCAAAGGAGTGCAAGGGGACGGACAAAGACGACGGGTCCGCAACGGTGGTCCCTGTGCGCCGTCGCAAGGCGGCGCGGCAGATCCCGGCGCGGTGGCGGAATGCGATCTTGTTGCCCCAGACGAGCTCGCGGCCCGCCAAGGTTCGTCGGCTGGTGACGGCCCCCCCGTACCCGCCGCCTTCCTACCCGTTGCCGCCGCTGCCTGTTGCTCCCCCGCCCGAGGCCGCACCATCTTCGTAAGTCTTCGGCTTTACCTCGCCATCTCCGACGTAGTGCTCATGATGTGCTTTGCTGTAGGATCCCGCCCCCCAAGCGTGACTCGTCGGTGGTGTTCCTCAGCCCCATGAAGCCTGTCTCGGTGGCGAGGAAGAACCGCGTCATCCCGCGTCCCATCCGGTGAGCCCTCACCCCCAACTCCTGTACGCAATCGCTCAGTGTAACTGAACTTTTTTTTCCTCGCCAGGGCGTTCCTCGCCATTGACCCATCGAAAACCGTCCGCAAGCTTGCAATGAGGGCCATACCGTACGTTGGTCTTTTTCTCTCGTCCGAGTACACGCATCCTCATCGTCGTCGTGTCCTCCAGCTCGCGGCGGGAAGCGACAGCGCTGTACAGGAAGAAACCCCGACCGGACTCGATCCTCATCTACCGCTCCAACCTCGGCCAGAAAAAGCTGTAACGACCCTTCGACCCCCTATTTCGGTTTCGACTGCGACTCTCCTTTCCCCCCTCCACCCAATTCTACGTTATCCTGGCTCGGCTCCACGGCTTCATAACAGAAACGTATAAAAACCCCCATAAAAAACTTCATAATGACAGTTCACAAAAACATTAGATAGAGGATCGGACGTGGCACAACCCGGGTTACATCGCTCACCATACTCACCTCTCATACAGCGTTTACAGGACCTGCAGTGCGTCCGGTGTTCGGCATGGGGCAAAAAGTGCGTCTCCTTTCACTCATCCTTGAACCCCGACGTGTTCTGCTGTGCCTGTTGCAGATCCGATTTCACCTACGGCTTGATCGTTCCTTTTCCCGAAGAGTTTCGAGGTAAGCTTTCTTTCCCCGCAATCGTCCTTGCGCGAACTGATCATATGAGGGCCGTTAGGATGGAATGGGTTGGGCTCCCTCGATCTCTGGATTATCGAAATATTGAGTCTTTTTCCTCTGCGATATTTGTTCTCCTCCCTGAAGCGTTCATAGGTGCCGCAATACGGATTCATCACACAACAGGGCTGGAAGCGCTTGTCATGTAACATTGTACTCTGTATTGGATGATGACAATCGGACGCATTTACGCATTCTATGGATTGCCTTGAGGTTCATCACCCCAAGCCGAACGTGAATATGAATGATTGTGAGAGGTGGGGTATATGACAAAATCCGGTATATATACAGTAACACGAACACGACGCGCAACAGAAGCCACCGCGTAGCGATCGGTGGTTGCGAGACGAGAGCACTGCGAATGACATTTAGAGGTATTCCTTGACTTCGTCCTCACACCATTGCCAGAGCTTCTCCTGCTCCTCAACGTTCTTCGACTGCTTATGCGGCTCGCCAACCCGGGCCCAAGGACGAAGGTACTGTGAAGACCTTCATCAGATACAGAATGCTCGACGTAGAATGCATGAGGCGAGCCACTCACGCGTCCGTTAAACGAGGCGGCCTCGGGCGAAGTGCCCGCGAACAGCTGCGTGATCGCACCGAAAGGCAGCGGGTGCAGCACCGCCTTGTTCAGCATCCGCGTCGCGAACCCGGTCGCGTGCCTCTGGAGGTCGCTCTGGATGTTGCCCGGGTCGCAGGTCGTGACGACGACCTTGCCCTCGTCCTCCTGCTCGCTCCGGCGCGCGAACACGTAGGCGAGCATGACGGCGCCGAACTTGGACTGGCAGTAGAGCTGGAACGGGCCGAGCTTCTTGCGCTCCTTCGAGTCCTTGAGCGTGTTGTACTTCATGGGCGCTTTGAAGTAGTATTGGACGGAGGACGAGGTCCAGACGACGCGGGTTGGTTGGCCGGCGGCTGAGGCGGTGGCGACGAGCAAGGGCCAGAAGAGGCGGATGAGGAGGTACGGCGCGAGCGTGTTCGTGCTGGATCGGTGATACATGATCAGCGACGATGAGAGCTATGAAAGAACGTGTCGTGTACCCAAACTGCATGTCGTAGTTCTGAGCAGTGACTTGCTCGATCGGAGGCTAATGACCGAGGTGAGTGTTTGTGACGCATGAATGGCGCGAGAGATGCGACGAACGGCCATGACGCCGGCGTTGTTGAAGAGGACGTGGAGTTGTGATTCCATCCTTGATTAGGGTCAATCGTTTTCGCTCTCCACCATGATAGCGCCTGAGAGCTCACTTCGTGTAGGTCTCTACCGCCGCTTTCACGGATGGCAGATTGGAAAGGTCGAGCTCGAGGAAGATGGCCCGCTTTCCTGTGTCGTTGAACAGGTCGGTGATGGCATCCTCGGCCTTTGACTTGGAGCGAGCGGCGAGGTAGACCTTCGCGTTCTTCTTCAAGAGCTGCCGGCAGGTCTCCTTTCCTATGCCCTACAGGAGAAGAGTAAGCTGACCATCCATGCTGGACAACGAGAGCGAAGCACGTACCGTGTTGCCTCCCGTGACGATGACGACCTTGCCCGACAAGTCCGGTATCTCGTCGAACGACCATTGCGGCTTTGGGGGAAACATCTGGGAGTAGAGGGTCGCGGCCGACATGTTGCTCGCTTTTGAACCGTACCGAGGTGTGGAGGAGGGAGAGTGTGAGGCGTCCAACCTACGCCCCGCCTGGGGACTTTATACGGACTCCAGCATGCAGTTCCTGCTCTTCTGATTGGACCAAGGGTGACAGGCGAGGGGAGGAGGATGAAGCCGTTGTATGTCCACATATGGATGGCGCCCGCTGCTTGGGCAGTGGTGGGCCCTTCCACGCTCGTTTTTCGCGCGCGCTCATATCTGAGCACGTTACAAGCAACACAAGCCATCAAAGCCAACCACGAGTGTGCTTTACAATGTCCAAGACAGAGATGATTGAGTAGCGGTTGACTTGGTTGAGTCGCGAGTATTGACGGCGACTCGGCTCTCTTGCTCCGTGTCCAATTCTTGTCGATCAACCCTTGACATAGGCATGCCGGTCTCAGGCAATGTACGTGTTCATACAACCCTCATGAGTGACTTGTTGACGATCTCGCCTTCATCTTCCTCGCGATCATGCCACGTTTTGAGCATTCCAGTTTGGTGATTTAAATCTCGCAGGGGTCGACAGTGACACTAACACACTCAACTTATCAGTCACCGCGATGATCACGTTCGAATTTATACCGGCTCGGGCTTGAGTCCGGCTACTCGTGGATGTAGGGAACGGGGAGCCGTATTGTGATTCTAGACGGCGCGCTACATTCAAGTTTAACCCTGATACGACGATATCGGAGAGGCCACGGGCGCCTAAGGCGTACTATATAACAGCGAATGGGATTCGATGATTGTGTCCGGAAACGGACCGTCGCGTACAACCAACCTCCATCACGGCATGGACTATCTCGAGCGCTCCTCTTTCACGGACACGTACGGTCTCTGGACTGTTCATGTTCATGTCACCGGACGGCTGTACTGGCGACTCTCCCCTTCCACGCGACATCGAGGTGTTCGCATCGTCTCCAATATCGAACCAAAGCATCTTGTGAAATCTCCCGCCTGGAGGCCGATGCACTCTGTTGCCATGGGTGACGACCAAAGTGGTTATCAGAAAGCTCGTGTTCAAGGCCAGTTTAGCCCTGTAGAGCTACATACAGCTGATGGCAAGACCGTGATTACCGTTGATCACGCAACAACTCGCGCGACATACGCGATTGACCCTGGAGACATGTCGTACCCCAAGGATATGCGCAATACTGACGTTGAGACTGGTATGCGCAGCAATCCATCTTGTAAACCAGAACCGCTCACGTAATGGACATGTAGTCTATGCGCAACGCCTGATGTACTGGGCTCAAATGCAGATGTTTCCATCTCACATCCAGCTCCATCCCGCCTGCGTCCAGGCAGCCACGAACGCATTGCTCTGGTGTCAAGCGGATCGGGTGTTATTCACTTCTTCGAATGCACCATTCTCTAAGGAAGCCAGTTCGGAGATGCTCTCCCTTCTTCGAGATATATCGAAAGGTTAGTTATCCTCACGCCACAATATCTGTCAATGACCTGGCTATTAACGTTGGGGTTTCGGTCGGAATCAATTGTAGAAGCACAAGATCACAACATCGGAATCTCCCTGGAGACGTGGTACGTCGCTGCAGTACTCCGACATACCAGTATGGCACTCTTCTTCTTGTGACGAAGCATGGTACTGATGCCACACGTACTCAGCTCTGCATCGTATCAAGTACCACTACGGAAGAGTCGACGCGCAGAAGTACCGGGAGCGCGCTAGGAACAATGAACTCCCGGAGAATCTGCCAATGATATCGAGCGTACCCGTTCGCATGATATGGCACATCCTGTCTTGGATACTACTCACATCCCCCTACGGATATCTCAGCAGAATCGCGACAGTGGATCGCACTCAAATGGGCGATGGTATTAGTACGATCAGATGGGTCCGTTTAATCTCAGCGTTATGCCGCGAATGGAACTCCAGCAATCTTCTCGTAAGTACTATTGAATGGCGAACCTCGAAGGTAGTCGCTGACTTGTGCTAGTCAACAGTGCTGATATCGTGAGCTCAGATTCGTGGCTTCATTGCCAGTGCATAATCGGTATTTAAAGAGCAACCGTGGCCGTCCTGGCGATACCTGGTATAAACGGTGTAGCTGCAGTGCTTGCAATCCTGTCCATCCTATGCGCCATCTTCTCCGTTTGCTCCGGGTTGTTCATGCTCTGGATTCACCAATCACTTACGGATACCGACAGCGTATTTGCGGTCCGTGGACTGCCTTAGTTTCTCATAGTAGCCGTACTGACAAGACATGCCAGCTTGTATACTTTGCGAAGGCTAAGGCCCTCACTGGATCGTCCCATTTACTTGCCATCGGGCTCTCTCTGCCTCTAGTATCCACCCTCTATGGCATGCTGTTGTTTCTGGGCTCGATTGCCTCATATTCCCTAGACTCCCATCTTGCGCATGACTTCGCCATCGTCATGCGCGTCGCGACCATCGCAGTATTGATCGCGTTGCTCGTGCTTGCGTGCACGGTGATACCTGTGTTCAGTGACAAGTTCATTGATCTTATGCGGCTTCACCTACCATCCATATCGCACGGTGCCGTCGTAGATGCCGTTGAAGAAGAAGAAGGTTCTCAGATCGTCAATGGCGATGCTCCGGTTAGTTCATCACTTTGAATGCTCACTCGTGCGTCTTGCTCAACGACGGACATTGCAGCCCATTATAAATCCAGACCGCACTATGGGTGTGAAAGTTGACCTAGTAACCCCAGTTGTAGGCGCGGAGATCTGGAATGGGGTTAGCGTGCCGCGGCGGGCCCGATAGCAGAGCACCAATTACCATGCCGCATTGGGAGTGTAGAGTACTACTAGCTAGCTATCCGCAGTTGCTTGGGGCGATTTGAGGTATATGGAAGCGTCGAGATACGCGGGGCACAGTTCCTTGGTGGCACGGTGGATATGCATGCTTATTCTATTTGCACAGCTATATACGGTCACATCGTGAATTAGATGAACTGATGGCGAAGAGGTTGGGAGCATCTCAGACGTCGACTTCAACGGCCATCGGCAATAGCCTCGCGGATCAGCAAACCCTTCTTCTCGTCCCGCAACTTGATGTCGCAGTCGAATGGTGCAGGGTGGCCGACGAAGTGGGGGTACTCGACCTTTGGCTCGACCACCTTGCCATCGGGACCAATCTACACCGAAAATGATTCCATATCAGCACTCTATTTTACGGACAGCGCCGTTAGGCGGTAGTTCCGCTTACCTTCTTACGGATATCCAGACAGTGCATGATGGACGAGAGAGCGATGAAGAGAGCGTTGTCAGCGAAGTATTGTCCGATGCAGATGCGGCGACCGAAGCCGAAGGCGAAGTTGCGGGGGCTGCGCGTACATGAGTGTTAGACCAGAGAGCAGCAACAGGGGCTCGGGCATCACTCACTCGGTTTCCTTGAACCTTTTCTCCGAAAGGCCTTCGTGGCGCTCTGGCCTGAAATCAAGGTGATCCTCACCGTACAACTCAGGGTCGTGCATCATGCCCCTAGATATGTCGGTCAGACCAGGTGAGAAGGATGGTATAGACGTCTTTCGCTGACCAGATGTTGGGCAGAATCGTCGTGCCCTCCGGGATGAACATGCCCTCATACACGTCATCCTGCGTGAGCCGATGAGCCACGCCAATCGGCGCCGCGGGATTCCATCGGTAGGTCTCCCGGATGACGCAGTCAACGTAGGGCAAGTTGGGGCGGTCTTCGAAGGTGGGCAACCTAACGAACACAGAGGAGTTAGCACGCCCGATCGTGGTGAGAATCTTCAAGAACATCCTTACCGATCGGAGCCGACGACGCGGTCGAGTTCCTCTTGCGCGCGTTTGAGCACGTTGGGATGGAGCACCATGGCAAGAAAGAAGGAGCAGATGAGAGAAAGCGTCGAGTCCGCGCCGGCTATACTCGTAGTTCGTCGTCAGACGAGGTGAATCGAAGAAGATTATCATCGGCTGACGTACCTGCGTAGATGACGGCGCTGGTCTCTTTGATTGTCTCTTGCATCTCAGCGTCGCACGCGGGACCGCCATGAGCTTCCAGAAGGGTGGTGCAATACGACTCGCGAGCCTTGCCAGCGTACTGAAACACATCTCAGCACGTCAATGAACACCCTTGGGCATGAAACAAAGTGTCGCTTACGTATTCGTCCATCAGATGAGCCCAAGGCTTTTCCAATATACCGCGCGTGCTAACTCGCCATTCTTTGGCGAGCGTTTTAAACCCGGCACCAGGGAACCATCCCGGCACGTATTTCACTGCCGCATAATCAGATTCGGTTCCTGAACGGCTACCTGTTCACGCACAGAAAGGCAGAGCATCGACTAGGAAACCGACGCCAAGGGTTTGCGTGAGACCATCGACAGCGTGTTCGACCATGTGGACGTAAGGATCGTCCGCCTTGACAGTATAGCCATACGCCATCTTCATTATAGTCGAGCCAGCCAAGCTTAGGAAAGGCATCAATATCCGGAGGCTATTTGAAGCACACTTCGGGCCAACGCTTACCGACGAACATCAGGATCGAGATTTTCGGGGTTGTCGACGACGCGCTGGAGGAAGAGATGTGTTTCTGCTAGCTGCATCGACTTGTACTGGAAAGATCGATTTTTATCGGCCTCTCGGTTGGCCACGGGGTAATTCAGTGAGCCTCACCTTGTCCACAGCGCGGGAATTGAGCGCCTGGTGCATGACTCGCCGGTGACGTCTCCACTTGTCGTTGGGCGTGGTGTAAGGGACAAGCGTCATGTTAAAGTCCCATCCGACCCTGCGTCGTGGACATGAGAGTTCGGTTGAGGAAGCGGACGAAGCGCATGATGACTCACAGCTCCATTGCCATGATACTTTGAGGGCGGTCGCTGTAGATGCCGCTACGCTTGTCGAGCAACTCGAATGCGACCTTGCCCGAGTTGATGACGATGTAAGGCGTGCTCAGAATGCGCATGAACACGAGCGGACCGTACTCCTCGCGCCATTTTGCGAAGTGTTCCCATTGCTTCTGGGGCGGGATCTGGCGCGCGTTGCCGAAAAGTAGTTCGCCCTTGGGTCCGGGAGGATAAGGTGTTCGACCTCGCCGCTTCCTGTCCTTCGCAATGGAGTAGGAGTAGACGACGATCAGAACAGCGGTCAGGGCACCGAGCGCCGTGTAAGTGGTCGAACAGGGCGAGAAAAGCCCGAAGTTGAGCGAGTCAAGCTCGAAGGGGAGCTTCATCTTCGACAACTAGAGGACAACAACTGGAGTGGCGGAGACGGAGGGAGTCACAACCAATACTACAGAGCTCGAGGTTGCTTTAGGCGAAAATCCTACAGGCCTACGGCCAATATTCTACGCCCGGTCCCGGGAGACTGCGACCCTCCAGCGCGCTTGTTTCTTCCGCGCCGACCATAGCGATATCAAACACTCCACCACACCCAAGCGACAGGTATAGCAGCGAATTTTGATGAACAGAGGGAGCCGAGACAAATAATTTCCGTATGCTACAGCGCCGCCCATTCGGCGATCGTGGTGGCGGGCGCAGAGAATTGATCAGAGAAAGCCGTGGGAATTTGTCCCCTTCAGCCAGCTCGCCGCTCCATGCTTCAGCCAATGGCTTGCGCATACGTCTTCCTACACACCATCCATCCTCGAGAAATGCGGAGTAGCAGCGCCTGTTACATAGCAAGACAATGGGGATGACGCGGACTGGTGCTTGCTCGACATGAATCTGCGCGACGCTTTGATCAATGGGAGTCGAACTTCAAGTACAGAACCACTTGCAGTTACGGTCGCGCTGCCTGTCTCGGATCGGAGCAGTATATCGCCAACCTAATGTGACATGACGTCCGGGAGGCGGGATATATGACAGCTTCTGCAATAGCTTGCGGGCAAACGGGAACTGGCTGTGGTAGGGCAGCTTAGTTCCCCGTCGGCCAGTGTGTTTCGTTGAAAACGCACGCTTGTCCAGCTTAGAAGCTCCAGTCCGGTCGTTCGACCTTCATCCCGAAACCACCATGTCCGCCATACTGTCCGCGCTTCCCACTATGGACGCCGTCACCGCCACGTTGAACAACACCATGTCCTCCATCGCGTCGAACGGGATCGTCGCGGAACTTACGCCCCTCCTTCAAGATGTGACCAACTCTCCTTTGTTTTCTCCAACAGCCGCTGCACTTGGTGCTACCCTCTTCTTCAAGTGGATGTTTGCCGTCCCTCCCGAACTGCAACACCTCCCAAGGGTAAGTAGCTTTCCAATAAGGTTCCCCGACGATTACGTTCATACTGTTCGTCGTAGGTTCCGGTCATCCCGACTTTGTTATCCTTTGCGAAGGGCGAGGTTGAGGATGTTAGAATCAAGAAGCTTCTACTTCCGTATGCGACCCGTGGCGATAGCGTAGTTCTCGTCTACGCCCTCGGCCGTTGGATCGTCCACGTCCTAGACAAAAAGGTGCTTCGCTCCGCAATGTATCCTGTTTCAAGCATTAACGCATGTGTTCTGAAGATTGCCAAAGACTTGGCAGACGATATCAACACCTACCCCAAGGAGGTGCCTCCTGATGGCATGCTCCTGTGGCGTTTCGTCGGCTACTCCAATATTATCCTCTCGAATGGAGAGGTGAGTGACGACTACAATGTCTCGCTCATATACCGACAGTCGTTCATTCCAGGCATGGAAACGGCACTCGAAAGTCGTCCGTGATGCCTTGCAGCGAAACCTACCCATTGGTAAGGCCGTACTTGTATTCGTTCATACCAGGTCGCTCACGCGGGGCCTTGTCTGGTGTAGAGGAGTTCGCCTCTCTTGCACGGAAGCTCTTCCATCAGATGGACCTCGCCATTGAGGCTGATCAAAAGAGTCCCGTGGAAAGCAAGAGGGAGAAGCAGTTTGGCGGAGGACGCGTTCGTTGGGAGGACCTCACCATGCGTTTCACCCTCGATGCAGTTGGTTCGGCCCATTATTTGGTTTGACTATCACCTTTCGCTGATTCATTCATCCAGGCACAACCGCTATGGGACACAATTTTAACGCGATAGAAGACGGTGACTCGCCCTTCGTCACCAAATACAACAAGGTTATGGAGGACATCGCAAACCCGCTATACCTCGTGTTCCCTCGCTTCGAGAAGTGGTTCCCTCGTTTGAATGTCATTCGCTCCATCGACGAGCTCGTTGCGTAAGTAAACGTATATGTTGGGCCCAGAAACGTGTTCTGACGATAGTGTCGAAGGCAATTCCAAGGTCTTCTTGAGCGTAAGAAGGAGTATCCAGGAAACGATATGTTGACGTTCATGCTCGAGGACAAGAGTCAGTTCGTTCCCTTCTCACAGAAGGTCTTCGCTCAATCCTCTTGCAGATATCACCGACACGGAGCACCGCGATAACATGGTCGTCTTCTTCATCGGCGGACACGACACGACAGCCGGCGCTATGGCCTCGCTGGTTTACTACATGGGCAAGTACCCGGACATCCAGAAGCGGGCGCGTGCCGAGGTCCAGGCAGCGATGAAGGGCAATACCACCGGCGAGCCCACCATTGCTGAGCTGAAGAACATGCCGTTCCTCGAGGGTGGGTCTTCTGTGCTTGAACGTATGCGCGCCGATAGTCTAATCGACATGACGGTCAGCATGCATCCGGGAGGCCCTCCGTGTCAATACGCCCATTACATACATGGTTCCCCGATCGGCCATGCGAGATGCTGTCCTCGTCGACTCGTACGGCAAGCAGTACTTCATGCCCAAGGGTGCCTCCATCATCACCAACATCACGTACGTGACCCCGTCATCGTCCATGAACCCTGATGCGACGACTGATGGTATATCGCAGTTCCATCCACTATAGGGACGACTACTGGCCCAACGCGCGCGAGTTTCAGCCCGAGCGGTTCATGGGCAACACCGAGGCGCAGACGACGGAGATTGATAGCGCGCAGTGGTTGCCCTTCGCCCTTGGCGCAAGGCAGTGCCCCGCTAGGTGAGCTCCCATTCTCAAGGACGCCGAATACGACGCTGACAACTGCATACAGGAACTTCGCAATGTACGAGCAACGCACGCTTGGCTCGATGCTCCTCCGCGAGTGGGAATGGACGATCCCGGACGACACCATCCATACGGACATCATTCACAACGCCTTCTCTCCCTTCGCTTTGTCCTTGCCGAAGGATCTGTTTATCAGGTTCCGGCGGCTCGCGAATAACTAGGAGGAGGCGGCGAGACGTTTATGATTATTTGCTCAATCGTACCCGTTCGTGTTAGTAATGTAGAGTCTCCCAGCATCAATCCTGTAATTCCTTCACTGGCAGGAGAATATTGTACAATGCCTTCAGTGCCTCACATCGAATACTTATGTGCCATTCGTGCCCACTCATTGTCAAGCGCGTCGCGTGTGAAGTCACCAGTGATCATGCCCTCCTGTCGTCTCACATGTGGACCTCCATGCATTGTTGTCTTGCCACACGGCGGCCAATGGAACATACAAATGTGATCCTTGTACTGTCGACATACCAGCTGAGCATCTCGCTCTCATTTGTGCTCGATGCCCCGAGGAAAGAACCACCGCAAGCGTCCACAGGCGAAGGCCAAGCCGCCGCAGCAACAGAAGGCTTTCGCCACCACTAGTGCTTGTACTCGCGCGCAACAAGAGTTTGCCGTCAGGATCAACAATACGGGCGAGAACTGGGAGGCTCTAGTCACCATCCTCTGCGACACGTTCGAGATCCCGTCCCTGACAAAAGCGGAAAGGATTGAAGCAAATCCACGTCGATTTCGACGCGCTCTATGGTCGTCTGGATGCCGCGTACGATGAGTACAGAGATAAAGGCCCCGGTTCGTACATGATGTTGGGTGGCATCGTTGGGATATACGCCAAGATGTGCGTCGACTCGATACTTCGCGATAAACTATTCCAAAAAGGTGCGCAATGGATCTGGTCATCTATGCCTTCGCTCATAGATTCGTCATAGGTGTATTGTCGAAGCTCATGCCTCTCTTGGACGAGGAACCGTGTCGCGTAAGTCGTTCGGCCTCCTGTTTGACGTTCGCATGTCGATTGACACATCTTTTGTCAGCGCGTAGTGCTACGATCGTTGGTGACCATGACTCGCCATGGAGGGATCCCGGTCAAAGTCGAAATCGCTCGAAAGACGCGCCACATCTTTCAGGTCATGGACGGCAATCCAAGCGATGATACCACTCAGGAATTAGGCGTTGCCATTTTGACCCATTGCGTCGGATCTGCTGTATACGACGTGTACAAGCCACCCAGCCCCAAGAATCTCAATGAGATAAGCATTTCGGGAGTGCTCAAGACCCTCGTCCGAGTTTTGAAGCGGCCGGGATGCTCGGCTCACCTGGTTTGGCATGCGTTGTCTCTTATCCAAGCTGCGACGGGTAATTGTCCCGAGGTGGGGACATTCCATCACACCCCGTGATGACCTATCTGAACACCTGTTATCTAGGAATACCGAAAGAATCCCTCGGCGACTAGATTTCTGATGGCGTTATTGCGAAGCGACGAACTCAGCATTCGATGCTCGGCCCTTGGAAGCCTTCTGCGACTGCACGCTCGGGCGAGCGAAGAAGACCGCGTCCAATTTGTCCCTGCGAAGTTCATGGCGATGTCGGCCTCTGGCAACTGGCCTCCATCCATCCGGAACGCCATGTCGAAGTACGGTCCGACAAGGTGTGACTCTTTCGTCACGGGCCAGACCGCGAGGGAGTACAAATTCGCCGCAATGGATTTCCTCAAGAATCGCGAGTTATATACGCTTGGCAAGACGTTGGTACGCACCTTCACACAGGATCGTGATCGACCTAGTTGACGTTATGGCATGCAGGCTGAGTTCGCTCTGCGCACGGAATTCTCGATTCCGAGGGGCAGGTCCGAGTTTCCCGAGCCTAGTGCCCTGCCGAACCTCAGGATAATGAACGGCCGCGATCTTGGGCTACCAGTCAAATTATGGTCCGATATGCTGGTACGCATGATCGTGCGGACTCCGTTAATGTACATTCATGGTGTCATTTTCTTCCGGCAGCCACTAGCCGCACTTTCTATTCACGAGAAAGGAGGTCCAGATGAAGCGTATCTAGCTGAGGTACTCAATTTGAAGTGCCTATTCATGCGCGAACGCATTCTCGAGGCAGTAGCGAAGGCTCAAGCTCTCGTAAAGGCATACCCCGATGTCGCCTACTTCTACTACGGCGCTAGCTTAATTTCGGAGCCTCAAGTTGGACTGCGCTACGCGAAGAAAGGGTTGCGTTGCAAGAAGATGCTGACTCCGTTCAGCTCGCGTTGCTCGAGCGCGCCGTCGAACAAGCCGGAGATATGGCTTTGGCGTCGTTTCAACAGTCGCGATCGCAGCAACGGGATCATGAAGAGGATGTGGCGTTCCTCGTGAGCGCGCTGGAGGATGCGAAGAAGTACATGGCCGAGGCGCCTCCCGACGCGAGGAACATGAAGGCTGTTATTGATTGGTACATCCTTTTGACGCTTGCTATCAAGGGAAAAGAGGTTAAGACAGATGAATAATCTGGCGGTATGGTCTTTGTTATCGTTCTCTCACCTCAGGCGGTCTGACGGCCTTACAGGACGCGCTTGAGAAATTGCGCGTTAACGAGGCCATTCTGAAGTTACTCGGATCTCGGATCGCCAACACGCAGCTACGCCTGGCTCGCGTTACGGTGCTGGAGGGTTATTCCGCCGCTCACGACGAATGGGCGGATCTATTGAGGGTTCTGGACGAACATCCCGACCGCGGCACGGACGCATACCACCGCAAGAGTGTTGATCAGACGAAGGCAATCGACGATCTCGCTACCTGGCTCGAGGAGGACGTCTACTTCGGTAACGACGATGAGGTGGAAGAACGCACTGCGGATAGTCCGGCACCCTGTGATCCACCGCAGAGCGTCACGATGAATACGGTGTCGCTCTATCTATGCAGCTTTTGCGGCACTCCTAGCGCTGCCCTCAAAAAGTGCGGAGGGTGCGGTGACACAAAATGTAAGGACGGTCAGAATGGTTTCGACCATGCCACATGCTCACGTTAAATTGTCTTAGACTGCGACGCCTTCTGTCAGAAGAATCATTGGAAAGCCCATAGAAATCACTGCCAGAGATCACCGAAATAGACTTCCAATGCACCGTTGCCGGTCCCGAATACCTTATCATCCAGTCCAGACACCAATGTAATGTAAGGTAGCGAACGTATGTTATAGCGTTAGTGCGTGCTGCAATTTGCTGCATCAGTAGTCGAACAAATAGATCCGAAGTCCAAGAGGCGTGACGCGTCCGCGGGTCCGCGCGCGTAGCGAGCGAAATAGGGGCTTCGACAGTGACTTCACCTTCGGCTGGCCCGACGCAGTCGTCGGCGCACGCACCGAGTGTCGGAGAGACAGGGGGAGGGGTCCATCCATTTTTCATCGCATCTATCCACAACGTCGTCTGCGATTTCGCTCCATCTTCCGTAACATCATGGCCAAGGGCAAAGATCACTCGAAACGCTCACAATCCGCCAAACTCCCGAAGAAGCCCAAAGCCTTCGCAACCCAAGCCCAACAGGAGGAATTTACTGTCAGGATCAACGATGCGTCCATGAACTGGGAGGCTATGGTCGTGATCCTATGCGAAGCCTTCGAGATCCCGCCTCTGACGAAGCGGAAAGGCCTCAAGCAAATCCACGCGAATTTCGACCAGCTCTATGGCCGTCTTGATGCCGCATACAACATGTACACCGAGAAGGGGCCGGAGTTCGAGATGATTCTAGGAGGTATCGTCGGGATATATGCGAAGATGTGTGCGGACTCACTTCTCCGCGACAAACTCTTCGAGAAAGGTGCGCACGATAGCTCTCCGTTGCATGTGTGTACACGCGCTCATCCGCCATAGGTGTACTGTCGAAACTTGTCCCCCTCCTTGACTCTGGAAAATGCCGAGTCAGTCAACTATCATCCTGATGCATTGCTGATTTGTTCACTGTTCACTCCCGCCCCCAACTTTAGCTGGTTGCGCTGCGCTCGTTACGGACCATGACCCGGCATGGCAGTCTTCGCATAAAAACCGAGATTGCCCGCAGAACTCCGAGCCTCCTTCGACTCATGCACGACAATATAGACGACAACTCGCTTCAAGAACTATCCATAGGCGTTCTCTACCACTCCGTCTCCGTCGTTGTGCACGACGAGACCAAACCTCCCACTGCGGATATTCTACGAGATATCGATATACCGCAGATGTTCAGGGTAGTCCTCGAAGTGCTGAAGAGGCCTGGTTGCTCGTCCGACTTTGCCGGGTCAGCAATGGCGCTTCTCCAGAACACAACCTACAATTGTCACGAAGTCAGTCTATCAGTTGTAATATGCCGCTGGTGGTGAGACTCATGCGCCTCTTGCCAGGAGTTCGAAAGGAACACCTCGGCAGCGAGATATTTGATCGCGTTCTTGCGAAGCGATATACTCACCGTCCGGTGTGTAGCGCTCAGCAGCCTATTGCGCATTCACACACTCTTGAACGAACAAGACCGGACCCAGTTCGATAGCGCGAAAGCCCAGGCCGCGATGACTAGCGGCCACTGGCCGCCACACGTCGGGGACGCATTCAAGAAGTATGGTTACATGAAGTGCGACACGTTCGTCATGTTCCAAACTGCAGCCGACTTTCAAGTCGCCATGTTTGATGTTGCAAGAAGCCGCGACTTTTACGCTCTCGGAAAGACCCTGGTGCGTTCGTCTGGGGTTGCCTTTGATATCCATTCGTTGACGGCGCAGTTACGCAGGTCGAACTTGTTCTACGGACCGAGTTCTCCATTAGCCATGGACGGTATGATACGAAGGAATTCCTCGGATTACCATTCACTGACTGGGCGGACGTGGTGGTGCGTAGGCTTGCGTAACGATGTATCTTCGCTGATTACTCCCTTGGCAGCCATTTGCCGCTCAGGGTATCCGGGAGAAAGGGACCCAAAACGAAACATTCTGGGCGGACATGCTTGACCTCAAGTACCTGGTCATGAACGAACGTGCCGTCCAGGCGGTGGCAAGGGCTCTCGCTGCCATTGACAAGTATCCGGATGTCGCCTACTTCTACTATATCGTCAGCCTCACTGCAGAGCGCGAACTCGGTCTGCGCTATGCGAAGAAGGGATTATGCTGCAAGACGACGATGACGCCGTTCGTCAAGCACGCATTACTCTTCAGAGCCGTCGAACACGCAGGAGAACTTGCTTTAGCCGCGTTCCACGAATCGCAGAAGGATGTTCGTCGGCGGGAGGAAGGGGTAGCCTTCCTCATGAGCGCCTTGGACGACGCCAGAGCGTACATGGCCGAGGTACCCCCTGACGCGAGAAATTTGAGGCACGTCGCCAACTGGTATGTCGTCTTGACGTTGGCGATCAAGGGCAAGGGGATCTCACCGGACTTAAGAGAGGTTGCAGTAAGTCCTGATCTTTTGTAATTTTACGACGATATTGATGATATATATATCAGGACGTGTTGGACAAAATCCGTATTAACGAGGATTTAACAGAGTTCCTCGGGGCCCGGCTCGCCAACACCCAGCTACGCCGAGCGCGAATAATGGTGGTGACAGGTTACGCGGCTGCTCAGCAAGAATGGGGCAAGGTCGTGAAAAAATACGACGAGGAGCGTGACATAGAAGCCCACAAGACTATAGATCAAGCGAAGGCGACGGACGATCTCGCTGCGTGGCTCGACGAGAAACTGCATGTAGAGGACGACGAGGACGATAATGCTGAAAGCTATCCGGACGATCCCTACATCCACATGCCGCGGTGGATGAAGCCGTACTTCACCGTCTCCCTGTACCGGTGTAGCTTCTGTGGAAACCCCAGTGCGGCGCTCAAGAAGTGCGGACGTTGTGAAAAAACGAGATGTGAGGGAAAATAGAGCCATTGGCATCATTCATTAGGCTGACATTATCTTCTATTTGCTCTTAGATTGTGATGCGTCTTGCCAAAAGAAACATTGGAAGGCGCACAAAACCGACTGCCATACTTCTCCCTAATTCAACTACTCCAGCTGCTATATAATCTTTGTAGACCAACGTTTCGTTACTCTCCTGTGATAGAATCTTGCCCTAGAATCATGTCAATACAGTATTTTACACTGCCAGCTCTGTATATATTCCAGTATAATTAACCCGATCGTAAACCGCATACCAGTGAAATAGATAGACTGCAAACGTGTTCACTGCACAAAGCTGGTTTGCTGTCACAGAGCGCTAGGCGTCATGATCACGATCCAATGATTGCTCAGATGCTGATGTGGATCCGCAATCAAACGTGTACCTCTGAACATGATATATACCGCGCTCGTATTCCACGGCTACGCTTAACCTCTGCATTGTAATGGGGACACCGAATTGCTCCGTCACAACGACACCGTGAGGGAAGCCCGTCATCTTGTAGAGCTCGTATGTGTATCTTTCAAAGCTTGGCCTGAGGCTGAATTTCTGCATTCGGCATGATTACGCGCGCATAGACCTTGGTATGAACCGGAGTCGTGCCATTGTTCCAGAACACGTCCGTCCCGAATTCCTTCGGATCGGGTCACTATCGATCTTCTTCATGCAGAACAAGCTGCGCGCACGCACCAGGATGTCATTGGGGCAGATCTCACACGCAACGGACTCCATTCCCTGGTCGGAAAGTCTTTTGCCGTTGATGTAGGTACCGTTCTGGCTCTTTGTGTCCTTAACGTAAATCTGCATCGTATCCAATGAGTCTGGGTATCGGATGGTGTCGATGTTAGGGCGTCGAAGTCACCTTGTCATCCTCAGCCCATACCTCGGCATGCTTACGAGAGAGGGTCTTATTAGCAAAGTATCCGTTTGCATCGGTGGGTTCCGTCTGGACGTTCGTTTTGCGCGCTATCACGAGAGGCTGGCTGTCCTCAAATACCCAGGTCTTGGAACTGAACGAGCTGTTCTATCGGAGTCAAAACAAATCAGCGCAAAGTAGCAAAGACTATCCGGATACTGCGTTGGACTAAGTTAACACACAAGGGAATCCAGATGGATGGTCGGGGCAGGCTTAGGGGCGGCGTTATGGTTTGACGACATCGTTACGGTAATGATAGGGCAGAGCGAGGGTAGTTGGGTGTTTGATAAAGGTCGTCGAGTCAAATGAACTCACGAGGCATACGTATCCGCAGCGATGCTTACTCACGGTGAGCTGAACGTTGCTGCATAGCATAGCGTCGCCTATTTCTGGCATAGGCACGGGACAGGCGGATGGCTGATCATCAGGATGAGTCTGACGAGCGCGCTGCCTGGTATAGTATGAGTATCATGTGCAAGGGAACTATGATGGTACGGTCAGGTAGGGTAGATTGTCAGTGTATGCATTTTGAGCAACCAGGAGCTTCAGTAGAGTAGCGCACGTGTCTTCACACCTTAGCCTGCGCGCTCTCGGTGCGTAGTATATGGAAGCGGCCACTTTGGTGGACAGATTTTAATCATCGTCCTCGACCATGATTGCGAGCTCCTGCGGTAGAGGAAATGATCAATGTCAAGGTGCATAGGCGGAGGTTTAAGGATCTCGTTCGACCACAGCACGGCATCGTCATGACCTTGCGACCCTCACAATTGCAGGCAAAGCGAGTAAGTATGAGTAGCGCCAGGGCGCGCCGTCCGGGCTGCATATGCGCACAACGGAAAATAGAACCGAGAACGCTCGTTCGAGTCATGGGAACCAGAACCAAGAGCGTGGATTCGTAAAGCACGCGAGCTACGTGGTTCGGGAGCTACATGCGTGGTGCTGGGATCCTGCAGGATATAGCGAGTGATGGTCAGTCGGAGTACCATACATGAACTCTGACGTGAAGTCGGACTGGGGCGTGCCATCAGAGATCAGCTACGAGGAAATAGGGATAGACGTAGAATTTTGCACAAATTGGTAGAGAAAGGTCGCCGCAACATCGTCGTCCTGATTATAAAAGACCTTCTGAGTTGACTCCGTGGTTATGGGATATCGAGGACGAGGACAGTCCTGTAGCACTTCTCGTTCATTCGATAGGGCCTTCTTACTTCTTTCAGCCTAACGACGATATTTTCCGTAGGTATGAGTACGGTCTCCCTGTCATCCACGTAGCAAGAGAAGGCTCGAATGTTCAATGCTGCGCCCGCAAGCTTCCGTGTGGCGAAACCAGAACACAAATCACAAGCGTTCGTTTGAGACCGCGACTTGCTGTAGAGATCGGAAGAGCGTGTACATGTAGAACATGCTAGAGCCATACACCAGCGCCATCAGTCAGCCCAGAAACCTTGTTGGTGTTGACGTGAGTAAGCGATTCAAACTGCGGCTGCGCGAGGGGTGATATCGGAGGGTGCTGCCGGAGGGGGTGGCTCCGCGCATGCCGCGCCGACGCACTTACGCGTCTCGTTTGTCGTTCCGCAGTGCTCTATAAGCCGAACTGACTATCGTCGGGCACGCTTTTCGTCAAACCGTCACCCCGCCGTCTCCCCCAATCCCGAGTCGGATTTTTTCCATCTCTCACTAAGTCACAGCGCAGAAAGAACAAGGGACAGAACAACAGAGTCCACACTCCAGCCGGTCGGTGAGTGCGGTGTCTTACGTAATAGGGCGTGGGGCGGGGGGCTGCGTGCGGTTGTCTCTCTCTTACCGCCCTCTTACACGTTCCACCCTGGCCACTTTTTCCTTCATCTCGATAAACTGACCACCATGCAATCCCTAGTCGATCCGCCGCCGTCGCCCGCCGCCGCACCCAGCGCCGCGCTCACGTCCTTCGAGGACATTTTCAACGTCGACATGCTCGTCGCGCCCTCGCTCTCCCCGTCGCACCACTCGCAGTCGCCCTCTTCGGCGCTGTCCAATCGCTCCTCGCACTCGCCGCCCGAGTCCTACTCCGCTCTACCACCGACGCCGCCCCAGTCGTTCCTGAGCGACCCGCTGCTCGACGGCTCGTCCTTCTTCAACTTTGCCATGCTCGACGAGGAGTTTTCGAAGGGCATCGCGATGGGCGGCGAGCCCTTCATCTCGGGCTCCTCCGCCCCATACGACTTCATGTCCTCCCTCCCCGAACTGTCGTCCAGCATGAGCATGACGAGCGAATCGAGCCCATCGGCCGCGTCCAACTCGCCCGCGCAGCACAACATCTTCACCATCGACCCTCAACTCGTCGGCTCGCCGTCCTCCACCTTCGACCACGATACCGAAGCCGACTCGCCCATGAATCACAACCACCACCACCAAGCTTCCTCCAACTCGGCGAGCAGTTCCCGCCACAACTCGCAACACCCGGCCGACAACGAGGCCGACAACGAGTCGGACGACGACCTTGAGCCCGATCTTCCGAGCACGCTCACCATCAAGGTCGGCGGCAAGGGCAAGGCTGGCGGACGGAAGGGTACCGTCGCCTCGGGCGGCATCACGAAGAAATCGAGCGTCACGTCCTCGGCCGTCCAGAAGCGGGAGCAGAGCGAGGAGCCCGACGAATGGCGGCCGAGCCCCGAGGAGTACAAGAAGATGTCGAGCAAGGAGAAACGCCAGCTGAGGAACAAGATTAGCGCCAGGAATTTCCGCATACGGCGAAAGGGTTCGTATGGCCTCACTTTTTTTGCGGTGTGCTTTTTCCGCTTTTGGTTATCATTGCGATCCGGCGCCACTTCTTTATTCTCTTTATGATTTCTTCATGCGTCGAACCATTTTGGTTCTTCTGTTTCTCGATTGATTGATGCGCCCGATGCTGACTCCTCGATGACCTCATAGAATACATCACCACCTTGGAGGGCGACATCGCCGAGCGCGACCGCCTCCTCGAGGCCATCCGTTCCGAACTCGGCAGCACCAAGGACGAAAACCGTGCCCTCCGTCAGGAAGTCGACGCGCTCAAGAAGGCGCTTCTCTCCGGCCGGGCCGAAGACGGCCCCGTCCTCCCGCCACCCGCCCCGCTCCCCGCCGTCTCCGCCGCCCTCACCTCTTCCTTCTCCTCCAATACGAAGGACAACAGCAACCGAAAGGGAGCGACGAGCCCTGCGCCGACGCCGAATACCCGCAAGGACTTGCCGACGAGCCCCCGGCTCCGGAACGCTGGCGCCTTTTGGGGCGGCGGGGCCGCGAGCCCGATGGCGTTCGGCGGCTACACGCCGGTGCACACCACCCTCGTCCCCGAGATCTCGTTCGGCACTTCAGCGCTGTCCGGCAAGCCGACGGGTGCCGATACGAACAACTCGGCCGCGCCCGCCCGGCTGCAGGAGAACCTGAACCCGGCTCTCAACTCGCTCTACGGCACTGGTGGATTCGGGGCGAAGGGTATGGGAGGCGCGCCGAGCCCCGGGTTTGACGCGTTCGCGGAGATGAACCCATTCACGTTGAAGACGCTGGACGCGTACCGGATGCAGCTCTGGACGAAGATGGCGGCGCAGCAGCATGCGAGGCGCGAAATGCAACAGCAGCAGCAGCAACAGACCCAGCTCTCCGGCTTGGCGTCCAACCTCCGTCCGGCGTTCTTCGCGAGCAAGCATATCGCGGGATCGACCGGCGCCGGCGCGTTGTCTGGCAAGGCTGCCGCGGGCGCGTACCCGACCCCGCCGACCTCGCCCCGGTTGTCGCCCAAGGTTTCTTCGTCGTCGTCTGGCGCGGGCCCGAGCAAGCAGGAGGCGGCGATGGTGCACGCTGCCGCGCTCGCGAGCCAGTCGTTCATGGCGAAGCTCGGCTCGGCGTTCTGGGACGCGTTCGCGGGACACGAGGAGAAGGGAGGTGCGAGGAAGGGACGGATGGGAGCCGGGGTGGATGCGGACAAGGTGCGGAGGGTGTTGGAGGGCAAGGCGGTGTTGAGGGTCGTGGATGTCGAGCCCCAGCCCCAGCAGCCTCAGCCTCAACCACAGAAGATGATGAAGATGGGCGGTGCCCAGGAGAAGGATTCTGGGGATTGTTTGACCACGCTGTTGGAGGAGAGCATGCGCAGCTTGTCGATCTCGAAGAAGGGGCATATATAAACCGATGTGTCTTGGATGCCGTCGTCGTCGTCACCCCCTCTCCCTCCTCGTTGCATTCACCTCCGCCCATCGCATTCGCATTTTCCTCCTCTCATCGCATCGCAATCGCATTGTACAAAATACTCCGAAATCGCCAATCTCGAACACGAAATCGACCAGGGCGCACCCGACGTGCCCTCTTCTCGTCTCGTCTCGTCCAACCCTCCTTGTCGTTTCTGTCTCGTCGCCCACATCCCCCCCTCCATCTCCATCATCATCGAAATCTTGACTCTCCTTCCTGTCCTGCCCCCTCTGTCACTCTCGATTCTCTTCCGTATCATATTGCGCTGCGTGTCCATACATCCCCCATGGGACCAGCTTATTGGTTGCTCGAACGGACGTTGACCCTCCCCTCCTCCCCACGTTCGAATGCGAAATAGTCCAACCGTTCCCTCCCATCCCTTCGTTCTTCTGATCTCTCTGTCCCCGTCGCGCTGTTTATATATAGAAATCGAAAGCTAGTAGTGGAACGTAAAGAAAAGATTGTTTCCCCAACAAACGCCTAGCCGGCGGGGAAATTGTCTTTTTGTAACTTAGCTATATAGGGTGTTAAGAAGCCGTCAAAACATCCCCATCCGAGAGTTGACGATTCAGGAGTATGTGCTGATGGATTATTTGATTCATCTTGAAGAAAGCGTGCGCCTACATCGTGTAACTCGAAGGCTGCATGTATGCGCCACTACGTCGTAAGTATGTACCTCTATCACCAACCGTGAGTCGGCTACAGCTTGGGCTTGTCCTTTTGCTTCTGCTGCCCGAATCCCTCTTTCGAGTTCCGCGCGACCATGAGGCTCATCTGCGTCGACACCGCCAGGCAGACCTGCTCGTCCCGCCATCTCCCGTCGTCGTCTGCTTGTTCCGATCGATCCGAGGCGGAGGTGACGTTGGAGGGCGCGGACCAGACTTCGCAGTAGGTCTCGTGCCGGCTTTGGGGCCGGGTGAAGAAGCGGGTGCGGGCGTAGATGCCGACGGTGCGGGAGGCGTGCGTGGGGGTTTGAGGGGGAGGGATGGGGTGAAGGAAGTCGACGGACATGGTCACGGTGGGGAACCATCTGGAACGTGTGGTCAGGAGGGTGAAAAGAGAGAGAGAGAGAGAGAGAGAGAGAGAGAGAGAGAGAGAATGATAGGATTTACCCGGGTTTCAGGCCTTTGAGCTCGGATTTGGAGAGGAGCAGAGGGGAGGGGAGGAACGCGTCGGCGAAGAAGGCGAGCGCGGGAGTGGTGAGCGTTAGCGGCGTTTCGGGATTTTTGCTGCTGCTGCTGCTCCCTGCGTTGCCGGTGTCGGACGGTGAGGCGTTGTCGGGAAGGAGCTCGAGCCAGACGCCGGATTCGAGGCCGCCGCTGCTCGTCGAGTCGGAGGAGGAGGCGATGCGTGCACGGGTGTCTGGTGAGTTGCGTGCGAGGATGGAGGGGTCGTCGCCGGCGGCGAGGCGGGAGCGGAAGGTCCAGTGTCCGCGTGGGACAAGGTTGGTGGGGCATTTTGAGGGATGGGTGGCGAGCGGGCAGCGGGGGGCGTAGGGTGATGGTGGGGTGAAAGAGAGGCTGGCGTCGCTGCCCGTCGAAGGAGAGAGGACGCCGAAGATGAGATGGCATGTTACGTTGGTGTGTTCCTGTTCGTTGCATGGGACAGTCAGTAATGCAAAGAGGGGAGGATGACGTGCTTACCCCTTGGACAAAGTCGGCGAGGACGTTCGCGAACGTTTTCCCGGTGCGCAGTGTGCGCACACGCACGGTGAAGGGCGCAAGGGACGTGCCGCGGAGGAAGTGCGCGCTCAGGTGGACGACGTCCGGGTGCGGCGTCCCGGCTTGGTAGCGAAGGCAGGCCTCCAGCAGCAGCGCGAGGACGTAGCCTGCAAATACAAGATCAGTTCGGGTTTCTTCCGGTACGTTGGATGGAGGAGCAGGGCCTAGGCAGCAGAAGGGACGTAGCCGTCGTACCTCCTTGTGGGATCCTGCGGACCGAAGGGGTGGTAAGCGTCAGCGCACGTATCGTATGGCGAAGACAAGACGCGGGTAGAGAAGTGCGCGTTTGTACGATATCCGCAGCAGGCCGTATATCCGTACGATGGACGAGAGGACATATAGGAACGCTACAGCTGGATGTTTGGTACTCACGAGCCGATGCACCATTCTCTGTCCACGTCTCCGCCGTACACCTTCACGTTTTGCGCGTCGTCGTTGGCTCCGACGCCGGCGCTGCTGGGCAGCTCGTCGACATCGACAGCTTGGTGGAACGGAGCCATGGAAGTAGGAGACAAAGCATTGTGCCGGTTACGAGTTAAACAAAAAGCACGCCGGGCTGTTGAGCTACTACGCCGGCTATCCGAGGTCACCGGCGTCGGAGGCGATGTGGCGCAGCAGTAACCTTATCAAGGTAGTTCATCCAGGGCCTTGCAATGAGTGATGAATCCATGCAGCACAGCAGTCTATGCCTTTGGGAGGAGCTATTGCGTAGGGGTACATGAAGCCTGGTGTTCATATGTATCCATTCAAGTGATCCAAACAACCTATGTAAGTAACAGGCGCGCTAAAATCACGGGCGACAGGTCGCAACAAGCTCGGGTATCTTCCGCACTTCCCGACCCGCTGATACGAAATAACAAAATGCACAACATCAAGGTGAATATATGGAACACAAACAGTTCCCTCATTTTTCCTGTTTTTATTTTTATTTTTTGCCTCAGAAGCGCGCCCTAAAAATAGACTTTGCAGCTCGGTCACCGACCTCGTCCATCTCTCCTTCCCTCCCTACTCATCGACCTACCCTTCGTAGTCGGTGACCTGCTCTTTGCGCACTTCCAGAGTGTATATCCCGGTGCATATGTGTATCTTCACTCTCGGAAGTCACCCGACGCGAGTGTCACCATGGCGCGACGGGCTTCCTCCGGTTCTTCCGCTCCTCGGTGCCTCAGGTGATCCGCTTCGCTGCACCGCACCCGACTTGTATGTCGCCATTGAGATTACGCATATATCCTTCCATGCTCATATGACAGCAGAATATATGACGGGGTGTTCGTACTCTCTAAATGCCACGTCCGCTGAGCTCTATTCGGATCGTGCATGTCGTCACCCTGCCACCACACTCCAGGTACGCTGGCTCGATACTCGGATAATGATAACTACAATTCCAGAGGTGGGCTATGCCCTGAAGATATGTGGTGCTATTGAATATACAATTCAGGCTGTGGTAGCTTCCTCAATTTGATGTCGCGGCATACACGTTCACCGGGCCAGCCATCGCCGACGGCACAATTCAACGCATATATGCGTCGTAATTGTCGGAAATCTATCCGCACCCTGATGCAGAGCCACTCTGCAGTTCTTCCGCCCCAAGATACTCAGCTGACCTGCACGAGCTCGACTCGTGGATAGATATGGAGCCCAGGCCGCAGACAAGCCCGTGCAGATGGCCTTCCTGACCGCTGGATCTCAGGTTGACTCTGCAGCAATCATGGCCCTTCGCTGTCCTTGGTTTGCACACGTGTTGGACAGCCGAATACTCGATGCCCGAATCCCCAGGCGTGATGAAACGTCAACTGCCAAGGCGCTCGGACACGCCTTCAAAGAAGCGCACGATGCGTCGCAGACACAGTGATTCCGCCCGGGCTCTTCCGTCTCCGCGCCTCAGGTGATACCTCCGACTCCACTATAATACGGATACATCACTATCGCGATCATGTATGCGCTCCTTCGTCGCTCATCTGACCTTCCCCTTCCATGAAAACCTGCCAGCGCTAATCATCCGCCCAGTCGGAAGCAGTGGATGCAGACGCGCCGATCGGATTTCGCGTCAGCTGGACGGGGGCTCGTCGCGTTCCGCCGTCTTCGAAAATTGCGTCGCGGCTTCTGGTTGGCATATCCTCTGGCGCTTCTGGCTTCTGCAAGTCTATCCGTGGATGGCGTGTTTATTTGTCCATAGCGCACAGCATAAGACATTATAAAGCGGAGAGTCTGGAGGCGGTGGACCTTTCTCTTCCCCTTCCCCCTTCGCCACCCCGTGCTGACGCCGCTACCCTTGCCTGCTACGGCATTTCCCTTTTAGGACTCCCTCTCTGTCCCGCTTATCCTGATACTTGACCTTAGCAATACGCGCGTCCAACCTCCTTTCTATCCCTTCCTAACTGCTGAAAACTGGAATCCCTACGATAACCCCGCTATGTCTCTCTACCTGTCTATGCCCCTAACCCGGTGTTGAACTTACTTTCTATTCACATCGGCGCGACCTTGACGCAGAACCGTGACGGACCCCCGCTCGGCGCTTGAACTATGCAAGCGACATGCGATCTACTACGACACGCTCGGACAACGCTCGGACGTACCGGTCCGAAGCCGATACCCCGCATTCCGCTTCCGTCAATCGACGACGCAGCGAGACCCAGATGCGGGAGGCGCGAAGACGGAAAGGCACCCCGTTTTTCTATTCGCCACCCCCACCCTTCCCCGCTATGGGGAGGCGGCCGACCCCGCGCTGACTCATATTCTGGAGAAGACGAGAAAGGTTCGGGCCTTTGAGGGACCGCTGAACATGGGTCGAGTCCCGATGTGCTCGGAGCTCGTCCGAAATGACTCGAGGTCGAGCTCGAGGTGATGGCATGGCATGGCGAACGACTGAAGATGAAGGCGTCGTTGTTATGCCCGCGGCTTCGGGTGGTTTATTGGCCTGGGGCCAGAGGTGGAAGGATGATGTTCATGCCGCAGACGATACTGAGTGCGATGTGGAAGGCAAGGCCTACGGCATGCACTGGCCAAGTGAGTGATGATCGGACCTCCTTTTCTGTCGCCGTTGGACAGCGTCCTGACTGAGCGCGGGTAATAGGCACGAAATCCTCGACGGTCTCTGCGCATACGCACCACAATTTTTTTTTTGCGCTCTGCCGCATATTCTAAGCTGTTCGCTTGCTCGGCGATCCTAAGGTCCGTTCCTGCCATGCACTGCCCCGCGTTCGAATCCATTCATTGCTCTATGAATGCAGAGTCCTCCGGGTCGCCGACGGTGTGCGGTCCGAGTCGTCGGACATCATCATCGGGGTGTCTGAGGTCCTCGTCCTGAAATCTCGATCTGGGGGGCAACGAACAACCAGCCGAGGATACCGACGTCACCTCTGGGCGGCATTGCTCCCTTCCCCACATCGGGCGCCGCCTCTTGTTCCTTGGCTGGAGGCGGGCAGGGGTCGGACAACCGAACAGATAATCGCTGGACGGCGGCGCGCTGATGGCGCGTTATCTTCTGCGGTTTACCTCCGGGAACTCGAGGCATCTTGCTTTCTCTCGCCAGATATTAAATGATATGCGAGTCTGGTACCACGCTCAAGCTCCACCGCCATCCTTTCTGATGAGACGAAGACACCGGTGGGTAAAAAGCCACGAGTCCTTTGGCAATTGCTCACCGTGAACATAGATTACGTAACGGACATGCCTACCACGACAACCGACAAACTGGGAAGATGGCCTCATCGATGGTGATCTGCGTCCGCAAGTGCGCACCAGCGTGGCGGCGGCGAAGGGGAGACGTAAAGACAGCGCCGACGCGCTTTGATGGCGCCGATTCCGGCGATCCGGTCGCAGATGCTTTCGTCTGTGCCCAGCCCAGGGCCAACGCGGAGACGGGTGCGAACGTTTTGGACGCCGGCGACGGACAAAGCGTCTGTTTTGCGGACCTCTGCATCACACCAGCTCAAGTTGAGTACATCTCCTGCATCCGATCCTGGCGCGATCACGAACATCAATGCACGTTCTTGCTTACCCTGGTTGTTACTTGTGCGTCCGCGTTCGCGGATTCCCAGCAACAACGTCGATGTAAGTCGGTGTGATTCTTTCCGTTCTTCGAAGTCCGCTGAGCCGCAACCTCCAGGCATGCCATCGTGGTCCGAAGGATACACTTTTACGCTTTGCACAGAGTTAAAGCCGGACGGTGTGGACCCCGAAGTTTTGGCGCATTTTTGACTCAATGCAACTCGAATGGAACTCGGATGCACTCTTTGAGCCGTCAGCTCCGCAACGGACAACAATATCAACGAACTGTCGTTCGGCCTCTTCCGCACCCGCATCATCATGGTCCTCATACTTCGGCCGGTCCATTCGAATGCGCGACTTTGGCCATCCCGCTGATAGTTTCGCATCATGAATAGATAGCGAACACCGTTCCATAACCGCCGCTGTCAACATCGGTACCTTTATCGCGTTTTTGGACTGGCCATTTCGGCTTTTTGATCCTCTCTAAGGCGCTTTCGGCTTCATGCTCGTCCTGAGGAACGTTACTTGGGGTCTGGGCTGACGGCGTACTAAAGCTCTTGCCGCTAGTTGTGTTGTGTTGCCTATCACTCAGGCACAAAGAACAGCCCGACCGCGTCTCATAAGGGTCCTCAATAACCCGTCGACTTGCGGTTTCGGATCTGCAAGTGGAATGCCCACATGATCGATGAACATCCGGACAAACCTGCCGGCGAGGTAGACACCACGCCTGACAGAAAAGCACGATCATAACCTTTGCCGTGCGTCTCGTTCCCTCGCTCATTCCGGTCACCGGTTGCGTTTGTTTTTTTAGCTCGTGTTGTGCTTCAACGGCTGATATTCGGGTTTCTCAGGCGCTTTTCTTACAACAGACTCCGTTGCTGAACATGATTATGCGTATACGCCGAAGATGTCCTGATCGACCAGTCGTTGATTCGGCTGAGATCGCGGATGTATCGCCTTGCAGCTATCGGCGCCTATCCAAGCTAGCGACTTCATGAAATTGTTTTGGCTTAACCTGACGACGCTTGTTTCTACCACCAACACATTGGGTTGATGCTTGCGCTATCAATGGCTCCTTCTCAGATCCAAGGAATCTTTCTTCGGTTGTGGACGAAAGCTCTCTATAATCGTTGCTTGTCACGTCACGGTTACTCTCATAACTGGGCCACCTTAGCGAGTAATATTCGCCCTTCAGACAAGTCTCGAGCATTCGGGTGAATGTCGGACCAAGCTAACGTCATCGACGCGCGCCGCTTATACCGACATGAGACTCTCGTCGCCGCTTTCTGCTTGTTCTCTAGTCTTGACGGGTTTCAATCGGTCGACGATGTTTGCAACGCCGCTGACGATGCTCACTCTTCACCGCGGACCTCCGGCGAAACCATTAGGAAGTTGGTAGCCATCGTGGCCGATGATCTCCTTGCATGACGATAACTGGTCCTATCACGTACTTACGACTCGGCACATCACATTGGGCGACCCTCATCACCGGTATTGGATTTTCGGCATCTACCTTGCGAAGAGTGGAGTGCATGACTTTTGGACCTCGCCGCGACCGGTGCAGTGAAATACAATGTTCTGTCCACTATGCTCACTCATTTATTAGTCGACTTCTGGCACGCAGCCACGAGGATCGCAAACTTCGATCCAGCATCGAATACTTATATTTACGCTCTATCTTTCAATTTTGTAGGTGCCTTATCGCCGAACACGGATCAAGCTGATTCCCCCACGTCCGTATTTCAGCCGCTCCATTGTTCGATTGCTCGTTGACAGTGGATCCGTTTTTCTACCGATATTCAGCGCCCGGTTCACTCTGACGTTCCAGTGAAGATGGGGTCTAATATCTGATACCCTTGTCGACCCCTCACAGACGCCACGCCGCTCTATCGCCTTTTTGGGGGCATCCGCCTTCGCCATGCGATAGGCCGGCCGTGGGCCGCCCAGCGCCGCATCCCATTCATTTACCCCGCACACTTCTCTGTGAGACGATTGCGGGGGCTTCGGGCCTTCCCTCCTCCCCGAAGAGGGTGTTTTGCTCGCAGGCTCCGGCGCGCCAGATCCGAATAGTGGGGCCCCTGCTCTTTACGCTCCCTGACGCAATTGTCTTGCCTTGTTCCCTCGGTCGCTGGAGATCAGCACGCACCATTGCGCTGCACGGAGTTTTTTCGTTCACTCTCTTCGTCTTGCTCTGGCGACTCCCGCGGAACGGTGCCGCTTCGGATCGGTCTATCGGAGGCTTGATGCCACATCGCCACTACTTCCGCGTCACCTCGCGGGTCGAAACCGCATGCGTGTGTTATTCTCCTGCCCAATGCCTGGTTCCTCTGCCTTTGCGTCATGGCTTCTCGCACCCGGCAGAAGCGGAATGCGGTATCGCTATTTCTGCCTGAACGCCTGGATGTCGCGCGCACTCCCACCGTATTATCGTCTCAGGATCCCGTCCTGGGGCCAAGAGGCAAGTGGATCTTCCAAGACGTACCCCCTTTGCACTTGAACGCCGGAGGACAGAAGTCGCCATCCCCTCGGCCTATGTCAAACGCTCGAACGTGTATTTCTGTGCAAGCTTACGTTCGCTGGACGCTCCAGCACACTTCGCCCTTTAATCGCGTTATCTCCTCGCAACTTCTGCTCCCTTCACCTTCTCCATTGCGCCACTCGGCTCTCCGCGATCCATCCCTCCTCACCCTGCATCTTCTGGGAGAACACTTCGCTCTCCTTGTGCTACTCCCGCTCGCGCCTGGGCTTCATAAGGGGTATCATACCCCGCACTCGTATGGGGGTCCATGTTATATCCTTATCCCGCCGGTCCCGCAGGCGTGGGTACGCGCTCCAGAGGCTTCGGGGCCGTCGGCGCGCCGTGTCGCGCGTCCGCGCTCGCTCCCTTTCCATTTCTGGTTTTTTCTCTTCGCTTTCGTCGTCGTTTGAGGCAGATCTAGATAGGGAACATGTAGGCCCGCTTGGACCGGGACGTTGGTCATCACTTCCGGCGTGGACCAGCGCTCGTCTCGGCTCCACCCCATGCGGAGGAAACATTGCCCGCGTTTTCCGCTGGTATGTTGGCGCTCGCTGCGTGCACGTCGCAGCGTGGAATGCATGCGCAAGTCATACATATGACGATCGATCCGGAGTCCGAGATAGCCCCCCCCCCCGATGTGGTCTTCCGAGCCGCCGCGCGAGGGTAGAGGGCTTGCGCTCGCGCGTTAGGTTGCCGGCAGTATTGTTAAAAAAGACGCGCCGCGGTGGACCCCAGCGTTGCGGCGTGTGCGTACGTACAATGTTCGTTACGTATTACACGCTTGGCAGTTGGCAGCCGCTCCCAGGAACGACGCACAGGCGTTTGGCAGTTCTTCCTGAGGCTGACTGACAGTGGCGCCCCTCACCCCCCCCCTCCTTCGCAGATCAGGGGGATGAATGCCCGTTTGGGAGCGTCCGCTCCAAGCGCGCCGAAGTTCCGGAAAGGGCGGGCACAGGTGAGATGTTACGACGACGTGCTACGTATGCCATGCCGTGATATGAGCGCGATGAATTTGTAGGGACAGATCTAATCGTTATCGCGGGGCTAGGCTGCGGGTCGTTATTGGGATGCGGTGATGAAGAGGGAAGAGGGAAGAGGGGAGGGTGGGATGTACGGCGGAGGCGATTTCGATTACGCGCGTTGAGATCTTGCGAAGGGGGCGGTAACGTTTGACGGGCGTCAGCCAGCGAACCACGTCGAACGCGCGCGTGTGTGTGTACGAGCACTCAGGGTACAGTAACCGGGTGCTATGCTCTGCGATCAGAGAACGCCATGTGCGCTCAGGTAGGGCGATGAAAGCCCCAGTGCTATAATCGGTTTGGTCGCAAACGGTGGTCCCGCATTAGCTGCTTGCTATTAACTGTCTCGTCGCCGCGGAGACCGCTCGATGATGTATTTATGATAATCCGAGCAGAAGGGGGTGCCGCCACAGTGAGCGTCTAAGATAGTGCTGGGGCGCCGCCATATGCAAGCGGCGAATGAAGCCGCGGGCAACGGTCTCTGCGGAACGATGACGATGGTTCGGATTTAGTGCCACAGAATCGCGGATGTGTTTGGGTGCGATTGCGGGTCGTCTTGGTCTCAGGTCTGCGGAATGCGCGTTCGAGATTATTCCGACATTAGCGGTGACGACCAGCTACGTAGACAAGGGCGCGGGGGTCCATCTCATGAGTCCTCAGTGTGCTTGCTTGAGCTCAGGTTGGTGGTGAGCTATACAGCTCCCATGTTTAGAGTTTCACACCGAGTCTCTCTAAGGGATGCTTAGACGGCAATCAGGATGCCATGATGCGGGGAGAATCTGGGGTAATACAAAAGTCGATGCCATAACATTCACTCTTCAGATCTTTGGGGGGGTAAGTTCTCGATGTTCGTAAGGTTCAAGAGTGATGTATGCCGCGCGTGTGGAGGGGAAGGCGAGAGAGAGGGGAAGAATCCCGCGCAGGACGATAGGAACGGGCCAGAAGAAGATGAAAGCTATTCGCCCCCGGATTCGGCGAGCTGCAGGCCCGGGACGGCCCCACTCGGGCTCGCGCCGAGTATTTTTCCGGATTACCTTGGGTATGACGTCGGAGACGCTCTCTCCATTTGCCATCGCACTTTTGCCAATGTTGCTTGCAATTGGTGAGTAAGTCACTAGTGAAGTGACGAATGATGCAGGATGAACCGTGATACCGACCGCGTGGCCGCGATGGACGACTAAAGTCAGCGGCGTAAGACTCGTCAGCGATTATCTACGGGTGCTCTATGGAACGGCAGCAGAGATGCGGGGTAAATACGATACTTTTAGACTCCTGTGGGGCATGTGTGCTGTCGCGGATCTGCGGAGGCGGGGGTGGCCTGTGCACCCGACGAGCTAAGCCGCTTTGGGCGCGCCCCTTCCTTCCATCCCGATGCCCCCGATGATGCAGTCCACAGTAGTATCTATTTCGTCCGCGGTTGCTCGTTGAGGACGAGGGCGAGAGATCAGCCTGGGACTATCTGTACGTTCGGGGACACCCATGTACAGTAACTGCTCATTTGTCTCCCGATTGCGCTCCTGCCTTCTTGATATCGGCTGTATTTCCCGAGGAAAAGAAATGATGTGGGACGACTCGGATGTGGATGGGTCTGCAATTTGAATCGCCTGACGTTGCGCGCGCCGTCGGTTTCGCAGATTCCCGCAGGGGGTGTCGGGGTCGCTCTCAATTTTACTCTGACCTCTTACCTCAGAGATTGGCGTTCCCCCAACGTTGCCAACCGAGAGCTCGTTGCCCGGCCGCGGGCGATCGGCGTCGCTGCGCTGGTTTCTTGCGCGTGTGCGTGCTGCAATATCAAGGGAAACAAATATGCTTTGATGGCTGCGCCTGATGGCGATCGTAGATAGAGAGAGGGGCTTGGTGCGGCCGGCGCAGATCTAGAGTCGGCATGACGAGGGCGTGCTTATTCCCTCATATTAACGTCCGATGGAGAGCGGATGGATGTGGGGGAGGTTGGGCCAAATATCGCTTTCTCTCTCTCTCTCGCCCGTCGGCGAATTTCGGTGGTGGTGGTGTATGGGACGATTTCCGTGACAATTTCTGGTTCGGGCGGGTGCTGTTCGAATGGAGGCTTCGCGCGCGAGGGGCGGGCAGCGATTGGCTTGGGGAAGGGCGCGAGGCGTTCCTGGACCCCCGACTTCCCCAGGACGAGACCGTGGGGAAAGAGATCCGGGGTTGCTTTGGCGTTGTTTGGCCGGGCTGGGGATGCCGGTGCCGGACCCCGGATGCTGCAGCCTCGGTACTGGTCCCATCGAGCCCAACCATTCAAAAGGGTATCGCCCGCCCCGCCTACACGACCCTTTCCAATCCACCCCGAACGATCCCGCCGCCGTCTCCTCCGTCGTCCGCCCCCACTAAAACATATATTCAGTACAGCGCACACAGCTCCTCACCACGGCCTTCCTGTCTTCATCATGTTCGGCGCGACGTTCAAGCCCCAGATCCGCCAGGACGGCTTCCACCTCGCGGGCACCCCGCCCAGCCCGCCGATCGGGAACGGCTTCGACGTGAACAACATGTTCGGCCTCCCCGACGCGTTCCGCAAGTACCAAGGCCCGCACGACGGCGCCAGCAGCATGGACTTTGGCGACGAGCTCGCCTCGCTCATCTCCACCTCGCACCCGAACGGCGGCGCCAACCCGGGTCAGCAGCAGCAGCACCAGTCTTCGCACGAGCGGTCGACGAGCGCCTACGACGACGGCTACCGGCCCCCGACGCACAACATCTTCGACATCTCCGCCCCGACGACGCACAACCCGCACCTCACCGGCTCGGCGACCTCGTCCGGCGCGCCCTTCTCCAACTCGCACGCCTTCTCCCTCCCGCAGACGATCCACCGCCCGCCCGATCTCGGCGGCGCGCCCTCGCTCGGGACCCACCACCACCAACACCACCCCGGCTCGCTGCACGACTTCTCCACCCCGGCGCACTTCAACTCGACCCTGCCCGCGCTCAACTCGTCCATGCGCTTCGACCCGCACCCGCCGCAACCGCACGAGCAACAGCCGTCCTCGCTCTCGTCCTCCTTCTCCCACGTGCCCTCCGAGTACTCGCTCAACCAGTCGACCCGCTCGCTCACCCGGCACACGCCCTCGCCCGTCACCTCCAACGGCTCCCAGCCGGGCACCGGCGTCCCCTCGGACTCGCGCTCCCGCTCGCGCTCCCGGGCGCCCTCCAGCGGCCCCGGCCCGACCCGCACGCAGTCCACATCCCGCGCCGCGCGCACCTCCCGCGCCAAGCGCAACTCGATCTCCTCCGGCAGCCCTCCCCCGCGCCCCCAGCCCGGCCCGCTCATCATCCCCCGCTCCTCCTCCTCCAACCCTCCTCCCCCGGTCAACCTCAACCTCAACCTGACCGGCCTCAGCGGTCCGAACGGGGTCAACGGCATGGGCTCGCCGCTGCACGGCACGGCCGGGGGCTGGTACGTGCCCGCGCACACGCCGTCGCACGCCCACCCCGAGTTCAGCCTGCCGACGCCGGACTCGATCAGCTCCCACACCCACTTTTTGGACGGCGGCTTTGGTGCGCCGCACGGGCTCGGCGTCAGCCCGAAGGACGTCGCGATCATCGGCGAGAACCCGGCCGCCACGAACGACCCGCAAGCGAAGCAGTGAGTGTCGAATATAAGCGTTGCTTTTTTTATTTACGCGCATATACTCAACCCATTCCCCTCCTTTTTTTTCTTTCTGCGTGCTTGTGCGCGGATAGAGCGGCGCTGGCGTCGGAAAAGAGGCGGAGGAGGCGCGAGTCGCATAATGCGGTCGAGCGCCGGAGGAGGGATAACATCAACGAAAAGATATCCGAGCTAGCGACGCTGATCCCGGAGTGCATGCTGGATCCCAATGGTCAGTTTCCTCTTGTCGCCCCTGTCTTGTCTTTCGCACGTGATCTGACGCTCTTGGATGCAGCCTCGACCACCTCCGTGCCGAACGAGGAGCAGGCGCTGAACCCCGCGGGTGCGTCGCCCGAGGCGGCGAAGAAGGAGGAGGTGGAGGAGAACGGGACGACGCCGACGGACGGCGGCGCGGTGAAGGCGAACAAGGGCATGATCCTCCGCAAGAGCGTGGACTATATACGCTACCTGCAGCAGCTCGTCAGCGCGCAGGCGAACCGGAACCGCGAGCTCGAGGGCGAGCTCGAGAAGTACCGCGCGGGCGATGGCAGCGCGACGAAGGAGGGCGGAGAGGGAGACGACGGCGATATGGCCGGGTTGGTGTTGCACGAGGACGTGGACGGGTTCGCGATGGTCGGCGGACCGTCGTCGAGCAGGAGGTTTAACGGCGGGTATCATCCTGAGTTTGGGCTGGCGTCGGTGGACGAGATGGATGTGGAGGAGGGGGAGGATGTTAGGCCCGGTACGGCGATGACGGGGATGTCGGCGCTCGCGCTTACGAGCCCTTCTGCGGGGAGTGGGGGCTCGCCGCCGAGTTTGGAGGAGGACGGGGAGGAGGAGGGGCAGCAGGGCGCGCAGGAGGAGGAAGAGAGGGGAAGAAGGGGGCGGGACGGCAAGCCGCGCGCGGTGGAGGATGTGAAGGTGAAGGAGGAGGAGCAGGCGCTGTCATGACGGGATGAACGAGGCGACGACGCCGATTCGCGCACGACGAGCCGCTCGACGACGCCTATTCACGCCGACTGACGACCCTTGCGATGCTCTCTCTCTCTCTCTCTGTCTAACTTTGTCTTTCTTCACTTCACTGTCTCACCGTCTCACTCTCCCTCGTCTTGGCGCCTCGTCGCTAAAAAATACCTTGCGGAAGAAGTCGCAGTGCCAACCTCAACCGCTCCGCATAACATGCTCTCGTCATACCGCCTTTGCTCGATACCCCTCTCTCTCCCCCCCCATCTGATCGCCTCCCGGATCCACATCTAGCATCGCGTTTCCTGGGACGATATAAAACACCGATCATACGCAGACGAAGCACAGCTGGCGACTGGAGGAGATTGCAGGTGGGGACCCTGACCCTTGGAGCTCGCATCGACTCTGGGCCGTCTATCCTTGCAATCACGTTCCCTCCCGATTTGAGATTCCCCCACTCTATTGCCACCGCTCGCGCTCTGCATATATGCACCGGACCCCACCCTTTTTGTTTACCTCCGTCCTGGCCATGCATCGAGAAGCACAGCCCCCTCACCACCACCATCATCGTTTCCTTCGGCGCTGCGAAACGCCGTGGGGCGGCCACTCACTCACGATTCATGTGTTATGCTCGGCGTCCCCTACGTCCCACATCCTAAACCACTCCTCTATATGCGCTGCTTTAAGTTACACGCACATCCTTTCCTCTCTCTCTCTCTCTCTCTATTTCTCTCTCGCATTGCAGACACTGCATATCTCTGTACCATACATGTACGACTATCCGGGCGAAGGGGAGCTGTATGATTGTTTTTTGACTGGTGCCGCCTGTCGCGGTTCGGGATCAAAACAGCCAAAATGTAAATGAAAAAAGACTTGGAAAAAAAAGCCGCCGACGGGACGTGTGCGTGTGTTCAGGGTTTTTTTTTGTTGCACCTCCGAGTCGACATATGAGATGTCTGATGAGATGGGCGTCGTCTTGGGCACGGCGAAATCACTTGGCGAGGCTAAAAGCCAAAAGCTGGGTTGGATCGCCGAAGGAGAGGCAGTATCGCATCGGCCGGCCGTGACCGCGGACGTTACAGCGCTACGCTGCTCGTATGGTATGTGGGTTCCCCCCCGGTTTTGCGCCTGTGATTGGGTGCGTGCGACGGTCGTTCCCACCGCGCGAGAAAAAGTCCCTGGAGCGTCGTATTGGCTTGCTTGATGATTCCCTATGATGCGGGATGAACCGTTCTGTCCGAGAAGCGGGCCCGTTGGTGGCGTAGTGACTGTGCGGGGGGGGGGGGGGGGC